TTGGTACAAGGATTGGCTAGAAAATGGCAGTTAGCCTCTGCCACCTGAGCTGTAGATAAAAGGGAGAGAAAATGCTTTTGGGTTTGCAACACAGGATACAGAGCAACCACTGGGAAAGAATAAGTGCAGAGGTTTTTTGTTTTGGTTTGGTTTTTTTTTTCCTCTGCTGGAAAATGGTGAGCTGTATGTTTTGGCCCATTGTAAAAAGACTTAATGTTTGAGGCCCTAAGTAAGGGAAAGTGTCTCTTTCCAAGAAGGGGAAAACAGTGGGTTTTGCTACATAGGTGAATTTCAAATTGGCTTTAGCTTTGGTTAGATTCAGGTATTTTCTGAATGCTGAAACAATATGTGAGGCAATGGCAACTACTGCATGTGGGGAATACAAGTGTTCTTTCCAAGACACTTGTGCAGTCACAGAAAAAAGTCATAAGACTTCTCCAAGCAAGAAGCCCAAATGCACCTTTGAAAAACCTGCTTGGGTTTTCCTGGCTTTTTGTAAAGAATGTCACATTCCATAAAGAAAACTTTATATTTCAAAGTTTGTCCCTTAAAGCAGTGCTAGCAAACAGCTGCATCCATGCATACAGCCTCTGCTTAAATGCGGATTTTGTAAGCCCAGCACTGGCAGAATTCATGCTCCCCACTGCAAAAAGCCAGTTCAAAACCTGCACTGACTCAGCTCAGTAGACAGCAGTGTCTTCACAATATTTCTCCTAAAAACTAAAAAAAGTCTTAAAACTCTCATTTTAAGACAAGGGGCAAAAACGTTCTGTCTAGCATGTACTGAAGAGCAGGACCTCTCTGGCTAATCAAAACCCAACATATGTGGGTGCTATTCTGCTTGTCCTTCTCTCTGCAATCCTGTCAAAAAAAGAGTTTGGAGCAGAAGAGTTCTTATTACCTAAGGGACACCCAGAGATCAATCTTTGTCCCAGGAAACCAAAAGCTATAAAACCGTGCTAGAAACTCATTTTGTACAAGTCAGATCTTGGATACCACAGGGACAAGCTCAGTTCAGAAAGAAGCTTAATGTCTAGATAAGTAAGTTTAAATAGAAGTCCAGCTCCTGTGTTAAACACACCACAAAGAAAGAAAATAACGTTACTGCAATGAATACAAAATCTTTGTTTTGCAAATCACTTTGACAACTGGATCCACAGATCACTCAGCTGCCCAGACGTCCAGTCTGGTATTTGCTGACACGTCCCTTCTTTGATATCCTCTGGGTGCAAACCATTTTTTTTATTTCTGTGTACTTTGTCTAAAATGATACAGATTGAAAAACTCACTCCACAACTCAAGCCAGTTCAAATGTAGAAACTTCAACCCATAGCATTTTAAAATACTGCTGTTATTAATAACTTATTGTGTTACAATATATTATGCTTCAGCTTTTCATTTGCACGGCACATGCCAATTCTCCCCTGGTTTATGCGTGCATAAACCCACCATGCCTGAAGGAGACCTTGTCCCCACGCATGGCTGCAGTCCTGACAGCTGAGGGAAGCATGTGTGGGACAGCACTCCCCAAAATAATCCAGACATGACCGCCTTTCCCTCCTGAACTGTTGCCAGTGCTTGTGAAACCACAGGCTCATCTAGCATGTGGGTAGTTGGCCTGAAGCAAAGCGACCTCTTCTCCTGCTCCACTCTCCATAAGCATCTGGAGGCCACCAAAGAGGTGCAGGGCAATCTCCGCAGTAAAAAGCAAGATGTATTGCTGTGGGCAATAGCACGAGAGCCCCTCCTGCTCCTCTTGCACATGGGAGACCACAGGCAAAGTGCGAGTGGGGAGAGCAAGCTACGCTACAGAGGAACCGGCAAGAGTGGGAGCATGTCCCCACGGATACCTGCACAAAGGCACCCAGAGTGGATGAAGATATGAATAGCCACAAGAGTCAGGGTAAAACTGGGCTAGCCAACAAAATAGGCAAAAATGCGGCAACTCTTGCCGGTCTGCCTTACACACAGCATCTCGTGGAAGTCAGGGAAAAGCTGCTCACCCCCTCTGAACCTGTATGCACTTAAACCAGAGGAAACACGGTGTCTACATGGAACACTAAAATAAACAAAGAAGCAAAAACTGATCAAGCTCACGCTAAAAATCTTGTGATGTGGCCTTGCATGTGAATAAACAAGCTTTTATTTGAAGTGAAACAACCAGGCATTTACCATCACTTTCATTGACACGGACCCCCTAACCTGTGCAATTTTAGATCTACAAATAATGAAATAATTGCCGTCCTCATCTTGTTGTATGCACAAGATCAGATAAGTAAACTTATCTGATCTAAAATATGATTTTGAGCTGGATGTCCCTGAGATTTCACTCCTGCTAAAGCCATTAATTCTACCAGTGTGTAATGTGAAATACGTGTATTTTGATATTTTTCCGCAACTTTAAGGAGTTGCGTATTCTGTCTGCAAAATACCAGCGCGTTCAAGGGTTTGTCCGTTGTGTCGCACCACTCGCGACGCAGTCATGCACACACTGAGAGTGTACCTTCCACCCAGGGCTGAGACACGGTCGCTGCCAGCAAGCCCTGCACTGCTGCCAGTGCTCAGTTCCCTTGTAATTAGTTTGCTCCAGCTCCTGCTCTGTTTTGTGTAAACAGCTGCCTTCCAGGACCACAGTTTAACTCTAATTAATTTCTTAATAAAAATGTAATTTAGTTTATACTCGAGTCCTAAAACTTGGTTCATTTCTAGTTCTCACCAGTGGTTCTAAGATGCCCAAAACGCCATCTAATTCAAATCTGGTTTTTCAACCCACAGTTGAAGACTAGAACACTTCTAATGGAAGGGGTTTTTTTTGACTTCTTCACACACAAAATTTGGGAATGACTGTAGGATATACTTGGCCAATTTTGTCTAACAAATATTTACAATCAGACAATTAAGATTCCTCTGTGGGACTGCAACTTTCCCATGTCAGTTTTATCTCAGACAGCTTTAATATTGCCAGTAACTTTAATAAATATAGCAACTAGTGAGTATAAAGTATTACTTATGTATATTTATGTTCCAAACTAAGACTTAAATGAAAATACTGGCTGATACTAGCAGCTACACACTTTTAATCACTTTTCTCTAAAACAAAACCTTAAGTTATTAGTTCCTTTAGTAGTCATGCAACTCTGTGGATAAAGCATTGGAGTACAGCTGACGAAGCCTGGCTTTTACTGCCATCTCTGCCACAGGACTCTGGGCAAGACATCTCACCTTGCTGTATCTCAGCACTTTAAAATCTGCATGCAGAAAGGGCTATATAAGCCTGGCATTAATTATAATTATTTGTTGCTGTCACCTGGAATTTCCCTCAAGGCTTTCATGCAACAAGATGGCAGCTTCTTCATCTGTGCTTGAATGATCCCTATAAAACTTAAAAGAGATCAAGTCTCAAGATTAAGCCAGGAAGCAAAGGACTGTATTAATTCTAGTAGAGACCAAGAACTGAACTTGTGTCAGATTCTCATGGAGACTCACAGTGAAAGGTGCTATTCCTCTTATCTTGCACATTTTCAAACAGTTCATCTAGTGCCTTTTTGCCTTCAGGAAACAAGCCATATGAAATCAGTCATATAGGTATCAGCAGCAGTAACTCCGTTTTCAAAACTATGTGTCATTGGGACATAAACCCTGGGCCTCTTCCAATCTCACATTTTTCCAGTCTCATGGTTATTCTGCCATCTTAATTGTACAGACTTTTTTTCTTTTCTTTCTTTTTTCACTCTTTCTGCCACAGAAAGCAAAAGCATTTCCCACGTGCCAGAAAAACAGAACTTACGAGACATTCGAGACTGTGGTCAAACATTGTTTTCCAAGTGGAAAGCACGCTCAATTTTGACCTGGCCATTATATGCTTAAAAATCTTCAAAACTGACTATAAAAATACTTTAAATCTATAACCCATAAAAATTTATATAATATATGAAGTAGATGTATAATCTATAACACAGCTATATGCACATCTGTATAATAAGAACTGCATGGCCAGTTTTTGGCCCAGGTTTGTAAATCCATTTTACAGCCTCGCGACCCGCAGCGATATGTCCTTTTGCACATTGGGGCTGCAACCTCCAGTCCCGGCACAGCCGGCGAGCAGAGCCTGCAGCGCACATGCTGCTAAACAGTGCGAATCAGGCTGCTGGACCTCCGCCACGGGAAGCAAAATAAGGTTGGACTTGTTCCCATGTGTGCATTTGAGATTTACTTCTTTCAAAGACAGTCCCTGACCTTGACCGTGGCCTATTAAATTTATGGATTGGTAACAGGGAACTGAGGAATGAAAACACTTGAAGCTCCTTACCCTTCATACTTACCACACCAGATGGCTGCTGCTAAGTGTCAGCATCAGCCCAGCTTTTACCATGTAACAGTGCCTGGGTACAAGAATTGTTATCTTATCCGAGATGGTGTGAACGCTGGCTTTTAACAGGTCCCAGTGCTTCTTGCTCTGGTAATGCATCGTACTCATCTGGAACTCTTTCTCTGAGGGATCTGAAGAATTTATTCCTGAATACTGCTCTCCCTCAGGCCTTTACCTCTTGAAAACAGTAGCTACCGATTGGCTTTTGCTAGGCATGCACCCAAGATCTTTTAACTGGTCAAGCAAAGTGGACCTGATTTTCAGGAAACCCTGTTGAAATCAGTGAGCCTCAGTCATCAGAAAACCATGGAGATGTACCAAGTATCTCAGTGTGAGATAACAGCAAGTTTCTAAGAGGGATTCTCCTTTGTCCTGAAATGGTATCAGACGTTTCAACTTTTAGTAACCAAGCCCCCCAAAAAAATCCACTTTTCTACTTCTCTACATTATGAATCTCTCCCTGTCCCTCACAAAAGCCTAGATATGAAAACATTTTTGCTGACCAATGGCTTCTGTAATGGAGCGGACAACTATTTAGTTCCTAAAGCAAATGGATATTAAATGCAAGGATAAATTTAAACTTTTCTTCCTGCGACTAGCCTTGGTGTTTATGTTGCATCTGCTACCTTACCTTCCATAAGAGCACAGCCAGCAACAGGAAGATGAGAATTCCCACCAGCAAACTGATGGCAATGATCCATCCGACAACATACCCACGAGGCTCCAGATTGTGCAAAGCCTCAAAGACCACCTACAAAGCAATTAGAAAAAGATCTTTTTATGATTGGAAGTTGTATCGTTTTCTCTCGTCCTCATCTTATTAAACACATTGCATGGTGGCCTCACTGATCATATTTCATCTGTCAAACAAATATGGAATGTGTCCTTAATTTCGTGCTTTCCATCTATTTTTCGCAAGGGATTTAAAGCTTTCAAGTGGAATTTGAGTAGCCATGTGTTGGATCCAAAGGATATCAGCTTCCACTCCAAAATAACTCTTAGCCTGCCAACCCCCCCCCCCCCCCCAACCCCTGGGCCCCCGCCCCCCCCCCCCCCCGACCCAGACACTGAGCTTGTTCTGGTGCTGGGCCACCAAAGGTGCATAAAGGTTTGAAAAACTCCATCCCTTGGATTGGCAGGGATTGCCATGACATTATGCGTGGTTTGTCTTACTCGTCATGTCCCGGCCCTGCCAAACACCCCGATGCTTCACATGAAACACTTGTGTATGCTGAGCATTTTTTCCACAAAAAATGGGACAACTTGCATATAACCCTATTGAATACGAGCTGTCCCTGCTGTGCTTCACAAGACACATTGTTTGAAAGAGAGAAGGGCACATGCAGTCATGGGTTCTTCTGGGAATGCAGAAAGCAGTCCCCTGCTGTTCTCTTCTCTCTGTTTGTATAGCATGTATGGCAGGGAAATACATCCTACAAAGAGCTTTCCTTAATCGTCTGCTTTAAGAAGAAAATGGGACCAAATTATACCACTTATATACACTATGTGAATTTCCAGTATCTTATTTCAATCAAAACCAGTTCCTCAGTGGAAAACTCAAAACCAGTCCTCTTCAGTGAGGGCTATTTCTGTGCTAAATTTTGCAATTTAATATCCAGCAAATGTAGAGAGGCAGCAGGACTTTTTTTAAAGGTAGTACGTTTGCTTTGTCTGGCTTTGTTTTGGTTTGTTTTGGAAGGCAAAATAGTGAGTTTTTCTCCCTCCTTCACAAACCACTTTCATCATCTTTGTTTAAAAATGTTAAAACCCTGTATAGATATGAATTGTTAAATCAATCTTCTACACAGAACAAAAAAAAAAAAAAAGGTAGTTAGAAATGGGTGAAAATCCAGGAGTTAGAGTCAGATACAATTATGCAACCCCAAGATACTCATCATTAAGAGGCCTGTGGAAGACCCATGAAATACCTCCACTCACTGATGACACTGTTCAAACAGCGTCGTTTATGACAGCAAAGGAAACGCGATACCATACAACCCCTATGGGTGTTGAAGGTGGGCATTCAGGAAAAGGCTTCAACAGAGACTTGATGTCAGCACTGGAACGGGGGCCAAAAAGGCTCTGGGATCTCCACCCTTGCAGATTTCCAAGCCTCAGACAAAGTCATGGGGATCCTGAGCAAGGGTGGGCAACGGGCTTCGAGTGGGAAATGGGACAGGACAGCCTCCCAGCATCCCACCAATGAACATTTCTCTGTTTCCATAAGCATATGCAACCTCAGCAAACACCCACAAAAAGTACAGACACAGATGAAAGCAGGTGAGTAGGGCTATATTTTGTCATGGTGTTCCCATAAAGCAGTACTTAAAAGATCCTTCGTCTCAGTTTTATAGGCTAACGCTGATTAAGACCACAGCTTTTCTGGAGGAGGAATTTGAACACAGATGATTTACACACACTGTTTTTCCTATTGATGAGATATTATCAGGCATTTGATGACAACGAGACATGAAAACATAACAAATGGACAGGAATGAAGCTATACATAGATAGCATTATCCAAACATATTCCCATAACTAGTATCACAATGCTCAAAATAGCTCTCGAACATGGATCAGTTCTTTACTCAAAATGAAGAATAATTTTAGCGTTTCAAACATTAGCACAAAGTCTTTGTCAGACTTTTAAAGACATTTTGCTGAACAGAGAAAGTTTCCTAAGCAGCAGAGTTTCCCTCAAAGCCAAGACTAGTGTAAGGGAAATACCGGACAGAGAGATCAAAGACAAATCTTGTGCCTTCCTCATATTTCTGAGCCAGCTTGGAAAGATGATCTGCTGTGGCAGTCCATTTCTCACAGAGGGTATGGTTAGCATCCATCTTGCGGACACAAGTCAGATGACTATTTCTTAGATAATAAGGCATGAACGCTATTTTCCTTTCTGACTCTAGTTTTGCCAACTTTAGTGAAGAGACTTTTCAAACAGTCCCTGGACGCAAAATGAGGTGGCACCTTCTCTCCACTACTCGGAGAGTAAATGTTAACATAACACAACCTCCAGCACAATAGACCTGTATGTCCTTCATGCTGCCAAAAGACAGAGCCAGGAATAGCTGCAGAGGTCGAATCATACATCATCTCTACAGCAAGAGTCCCACATTTCAGGTTTGAAGCACACTGGCTAGAGTAGCTTGGCTGTAGCTTTTGCAGTCACAGCTCAAACTATAAGGATAGAGAGAAACAACAGCTTCTTATCTGTCCAGTTTCTTCTGGCAGTCTGGAATCAACATACAAGCATAAAAAAAGCACCGTTCATGGCTTTGTGGTTTGGAGAGGAGCGGGGATGTTGCACATCTTAATGTCTTTATCCCTCTCAAGCCCTCAAAATCTGCCTGCATTAATACACTGTCAGTGCAATGAGTTTTGGTGAAGAAGCAAGCAACAACAAAAAAACCAAGCCAAACCCCAGTCAAATCAGACTGAGCAGACAGTCAGTGTACATCACACATCAGCAGTGTCAGCAAGAAGCCAGTACAGTAAGTTGTGGGAGACCAGGGAAGCAAGTCATCCTGGTGGGGAGGTTGGAGGCAGAGGGTGACGTTACTAAAGAGAAGTGAGCCAGGCCACCGCCTGCCGCTTGACCCACTGGCCATCGTGCACTTCCTGAAACCCAATCTTGAGTGAACCTTGAACTCTTTGTCCTGTCCACCCCAGCAGCACAGCCCCGATAGGGCAGTCAACACGTTGGGGAGCACAAGAGTCACCAGCCTAGCACACTTCCCACAGCCCCAACTGCCAGAGAAGACAGGATTGATAAGAGCGACTGATGCAGAAGATAAGGGGGGAGTGTGTGGGAAAGCATCTCAGAGAGGGCAGCGGCAGGCAGCAGCCAACTGGTTCCAAGAAAGCACATGCAACCGTCAGAAAATATGGAGCAGATTATAGGCTTGTTTTCAGACTCTGACGAAACGCAAGGGAAAGGCCATGAAAAACACTGTTGTCTTGACGATGTATGAGGAGTTTTAGTTTCATATTTATCTTTTGCATTTCATGCTGTACTTGAGGGATCTGAAAGTGGGGAAGCCCGGGAGGCTTATGCACTTGTATCTTGAACCACAACACCATGGAAGGCATGGGCTTATCAAAAAATGCTGGTTTATTTCTGTATTTTTTTATATATATATATATATAAAAACACCATCAGAATATCTCTGGTGTTTCAAACCACACTGCACTGCTGGCTGACTTGTCCATTCAAGTGTTGTTATACTTGGGGGGACTTGCAGTACAGACACCATTCTCCTATACTTCTATACATACATGTATATGCATCTTTTAAAATATATTTATTTATTTACATCTACTAAGAAAAACCTTGGATGTTCTTGAAAAATGCAAACCTGAGGTATCCTTGCTACCTGCTTGTCTCTATCCATGGGAAAGTAACGGTATTTATTGCCATTGTATATTGTTCTGTTCCTTTATCCAAGTGTGTGTTTCTACCTGCCAGACTGCACCGTAAAGACAAGAAAATCTATAAAGTGTTTGTTACAGTAACAGACGGAAAGGTAAAACAATGAAATGAAAAACAAAACAAGGTGAAAACAATAAGGCAGCAAATAACCCACTGGAAAGGGGGCTGCAAAGCCACTGGAGGAACCACACATCTGGCTCCAGCCAGGCTAGGATGGTGTGCCCATCTCAAAGGTAAGCTGGAGAGAACAGGCACCTTAAAATGCTGTGTTTCTAAAAGACGAGGGAAGGGGGTGTGGCTGAGTGGAAGAGGTATTCCCATGTGCATTAAGAAACAGGTTGGGACATCATGAGCACTGCCTAGTACCGCAGGGTGCTCCTTCTAATGCAGACATGGAGAACCAGCCAAAGTCAGGAGTCTTCTGCACCACAGGCAGACAGCTAAAGCTTAGACACATGAATATGCATTTAAAACGCTCTGCATATAAATACGGATCAAAATCTCAAAAACATCTTAATTTTTTAAGTTTTTCTTTTTTGTTGTTGTTTTCCCTGAAATATATTTATTATCGCAAACATAAACATACCAAAATCCCGAGCCAACCACTTGCCTGTGTTGAATTAAACCTGAGGTGACTGGCCTGAAAATGAGAGAACAGTGAACTCTACCCAGGAGGACAGAAAGATTCGAAGGCTTGATGAAGCATACCTGTGCTGAGCTGACAGCACGAGACAGAGCACTTTGTTGCAGGAGCTGCGTGCATTTTATCTGGGGTTCCCCTTTCATCTATTCAGCTTTGCATTCCCTCACTTTCAAGACAGGGAGACTCAGAGGCATTCGGCTGGTTTTGACATAGTGAAATCCAGCCTATTCTTCCCACCACACTGGCACTTACAGAGGGAAGTCCTTTTGCTCCATAAAAGCACTCCTTCTTCTATGCATAAGCAGCGAGCAAAGGATGCAAATCCTTGGATCTGGTATTCGACCGCTGTGGTCTCAGGGAGCTTATTGTTGGTTTTGCCTCACATGCAGAGCATAAGGGAGCCAAACCTTCATGGAAAGCCATATGCTCAAGAAAAGAAAGCATGCCTCCTGAAAATACCACGCCATCGGTTTCAGCCAATATATACTCATATTAATACAACTGTCATCACAGAGCCAAATCCAAACTCTGCTCACCTTCTTCATGTGATTTGTCCAATGTAAGAGTTCAAACAGCCTATTGTAAATGGTGACAGAAAATATATCATTCCAAATCACATAAAACCATACCCAAATGCAGAGAAATTATCTCTGAAAATTGCATAAATGCATCTTTTTTAAAAATGGGTTCATTTCAAAGATAGCCTGCTTCCCAACTTACAGATATTTACATAAGCTTTTGCATCTCCCTTACAAATAGTCTACTAGAGTTTCTGACAAAGCTGACACTTATATGGGTGGTCCTGTCACCACTGGTACTTCTTACAGTAGCATCACAAGTATCAGTCTTCCTTTTCCTTTTGCCTTCTTTACAGGTAGTTTGCACTCTGATACTGTACAATATATTGTAAAAATGAAGTAAGGGCACCTGGTTCTACAGAACCATTTAAATGGGCTAATAAGTCTACATTTAGCTGTAGAAAGCAAAAAGGCCTCTTCAAATTTACCATGATAAAGTGTCTAAGAAAATGTTTTTCATTGTTAGGGAACACTTTCATAAATAGACTCAAAGGAAGTCCATGCGCTACTGTTCAGAAGGAGCTGCTATCCAAACGGATACGGTACAGCAGTCCATGGTCAATGAAAAGAATACAGGATGGGCTTTAAAAAGGAAGGGAGGAGTATGAACAAAAACATCTTATCTCTCTTGTCTCTACTTCCAGCTGAATAGCTGTGGCTTGCAACAAGTACTATTCCCTTCTGCATTCCACAAGGAGTGGGGGGAGAAATTAATACCTTGAGCCAAACCACATGTCTTAAATTTTTCCCTGAACATGACCCTATGCAAAACATACAGCAATGGTGAAGCCAACAGACATATGGAAATAGCATAAAGGAGAGAGCAAATGGCACTCACATTAGAAAAGACTTGAAATTACAAATTGAAGCTACACGGCTACAACATGTCAAGCGTGCTCCTTTACAGCTAGAGCTTCCCAGGAACTAGGAGCAAGGTCTTGTTTGAAGATTAATATAGCTTCCCAGCACACACAGTGCACTTTATAATTGTTGCAACTCAAGGCTTGATGAAAGGCTTTCCGGGAACAGGAAAGGACAATGGTGTGGGTTTTTTGTTTTGGTTTTTCCTCCAAGCATTAGATAACAATGAAATACAGCAGAGCTTGCATTCCTAGATAAAAGCATTTCTAAATTTTTAACATTAAATAATAGTAAAGCCACACATTTTATATTGTGCCTATCATTCTGAGAGACTGTAAAGCCTTTTACAGATCAAAATATTTGGCAGAGAGATCCTGGCTTCTTCCATTTCTGTTGGGGCATAGGTATCACAGTCAGGTGTTATTTCAGTCATTAATGAAATTTTGCCATAAAATTGCAAGATTTGCTCTGTGCAAGCTGCAGAACTAAAGAGAGAGCAAGCAATGTATTAACAGTCAGGGTTGCAGGTCACTTACAAGGCACATTCCCAGGGAAGGCTAGCTATGTTTTTCGTTTCAGCTGACAAGCCTATTTTTTAATGCTCTTTGGAATGGTCCAGAAACCTGACAAAGAAAATAAAACAGAAGGCAAAAAATGGGGGCCTGTCATATATAAGAATTTCTTTTTCTGACAGGTTTAGTAAAATAGAAAGTTAAGTCTAGGGTTGCAGACATGATGGTGGAGAAGATGGTCACTGTGGTGGTGTCCTACAGACCGAAGGTAGTAAGTAGACACAGGTTCAATTCTTCCTTTGCCTGTGGGGTTTTAAATCCAGTATCTCTGAGACTAGTGCTTTAATTTAGAATGTCAGTGTCTTCCAAAAGTGTGTTAAACTCAATGCTTTCACCCTCAAACCTCAACAGTACTCAATGAAATGGAGTCAATGAGAGAATGGTCGCATGAGCTGGTGGTGATAACAATCACTGGGGATAAAAGGATAACTGAGAGAGGGGAGCTAGATCATGTTCCAAAAATACACAGCAAGAGGAGAAATGGAAAGTAGTCCAGATTACCTCTGATCCTCATGTGAGAGAGAAACAAGAAATGAAACTTTAAAATTTCACCAGGCAAAAAGAAAGCTGAATTTGGGTGTGGTCCTGTTCAATTTTCATGTGTAAGTACCAGGCGACTTGGTAGCAGGAAACCAAAGCCATCACCTCCTCCTTCTCTAGTAGATTGTAAACATGGCCCTGGACAGTTTTACTTACAGCCAAAACTATACAGTGTATTCATCTTGAACTTCAATTCCAACCTCCCATAGATCAACACAAAATGCAGTATCAGGTCATACATTAATTTCCACCAGGTCAGCACAATAGAACAGTTAAATGAATTTCTGAAAGTTTAGACCCTTTTGCACAGGTCCCAAAACGTCATTAACACTTCCGAATGTTTCATACTGGCACATAAGGCCACAAAAGACTTTGCAGGGGTTTCAAGTCTCTGCTAGGGTTTCAAGGAAAATCTGAATTAGAGTAAAGCAGATGTTAACCCTAGAACAGGAAGCTAAACCTAATTTTGGCACAAATACCTCAAGGATATTACAATTTTGGCTAGTACAACACAGATCTTCCTGCTCCACATAACATCATTCACTGTGATGGCATGGTTATCACAGAGAGCAAAACCACAGAAGCACAGTTTGCAGCACTGCTCATCTAGCCAAAGTCTGGGCACTTTCATGGGCTGGCCCAGACTAAGCCCAGCCACAAATTCCAGTTTGTGTAGAGGTCTCAATGATCTCCATCCCATTGAGATCAGGAAACCTTTCTCTTCAGGTTTATTTACTTACTGGTTTTTCTTCTGGGCTCCCATTGGGTACTTCCACAACTCTGAGGTCAGGGTCCACCCGCACCCTCGCCCTTGTAACGAACTGGATGACTGATGAACTATCCTGAGAAGTAAAAAGAGGAAGAATTGGATTTGTGGGGCAAAAAAAAGGACAAAAAAATCCCATAAAATATTTGCCAATGTAATAAACACATCTAGACAATGCTTAGTGGAGGTTGGATTGAGAGTTAAGTACTACCCTGGTTAAAACCCTGCTTTGAAAAAATACACATTATGCTCGTAACAGACAGACAAAACCGAGAACATTATCTGAGATTAAAACAACATCAGGTATGTTGGACGTTAAAGACATCATTTGTATTTGGCCTGTTAATGTTTTCCACATTTACCACAAAGGCAAAAGACCGAACATTGCCAATCAACACAGACAGGCTCAATATTAACCAAAGAAAATTTCCTATTTGTTTTGCAAGTGAACAGAAAAAAACCCCACAAAAACAAAACCTAAGATAAACCTAAGTATATCCCAAGGCGAGAGTGTCTTAATTATTTTAATCTGTGCACTGCAAATATCTTAAATATTCAATGTACATCTCCCCTTATTAATATATATTTCTCCTTTATTTTACACAGTGCATTTTAACAGGCACATTCCAATAAGCTGCCATTTCAACTGATAGGTTAGTCATTTGTATGCTGTTCACCTTGGGGAGGGTAGTTGCTAAGTAGCAAGCGGCATGTATTGGTGATACTGACCCAAAGACACGTGTAAGAACTGTATGTGTTTTAAAAAAGCGTTGCTAATGGTCATTTTGGAAAGGACCCAGCAGACGGGATGAATTCCAGCTATTCCCAGGACTGAATTTCCCAGAAGCACATTTTGTGTGCACTCAGTTACTTGCTTGCATATTTCAGCATTTCTATAAGCATGTAACAACCACCTGAAACTTCTGGCCTTGCCTACATTTCCTGTTTTCAAATATGAACAAACATTAGCAGACTGGTTGGTTTCAGCTAGAAAAGCTCAGGGCTACCAACAGCTTTAGGAACTGATTTCTAATAAGGGCTCTCTCCAATGCTTTTAATTGAACAGCTATCAAAGACTGGTTTATTTTAGTAGGCTCATGTTATCAGTTTTCTCCGATTATTTTATATCCTCATAATCTTACAGCATCTTGCCACAATTACATAGTCAGCATTTTTGTAAGTATAGGAAAACAGAGCAAAACGCAGTAAATTACTAGAAATTTAAAAAATTTTCTCTCTCATTCAGTGGCTTCAGAGAAGACAGGAATTAACTTGCAACCATTTGTTTCTTGTCACAAATGTCAAGCTCAGTATTAATATGGTCGTGATGTATCTTCTCTGAATAATAATCATTTGAAGTAAAAAATTACAAAAAACTGCCACGTCTCCGTTTACATGGAGGGAATGATAGTCAGTCACAGTTTACATGCACTTATTTTACTTCTCATTTTTCAGAATTAAAACTTTCAGAAATCAATTCAACTTTCAGAAGTCTCTAGCCTTAACACCATGCATACAATTAGGGGCCTCATTTGTTGATTCTCAATGTATAAATTTCTGAACTTAATTTATTTCTGTCTTAATGGGTAAGAATTAGGATTAACACCTCCATAGACGCTGTTGATAAACAGATCTGTTTTCTTTGACACCATGATTTTTTATAACTCACAAGTAAAAGAAGAGGGAATGCAACTCTTGCATCCACTGATGCACATGAGCATACTTAAATTGGTATTTAAGACAAACCCAAAGGAAGCACATACCTTCTTCAGTATCTCAGTATTCAGCAGTGTGTAGACACTTATATCACAGGACTCTGCTTTTGCTAGTGAGCTTAGGTTGCAGCGTATAATTAAGCAGGACCTGCCTGGTCTTTCACAGTCCTACAGGAAATATGGAAAAAGCTGTTAGGCAAAGGAGGAAAAAATTCAGTGACAAGTTGTGTGACAGCAAACATGCCAGCTGACTAAGATACATAGTAAACTGCTAAAATACAGCACTCCGGCATTGAAATAGCAACAACTTTCAAGACCTGAAGACAGCCAGATAGAGAGACCTGAATGAAAGCAAGGCAGGTGAAATTCAGCCCTCGGCAGAGCTGCAGAGACACGAGTGCCTGGGACTGGGCCACTGCGGCGCATCAGCCTTCTGCACAGGGCAGGCACCGAGCATGGTGCGGGGCCCCACCGCCCCATGTGCTTTCGACAAAATATGGGAGCAAGGGCTCTGGTCACTGAGCGCGTGCTGCCACGTCAGGTAACTCCCTTCCCACTGAACTTCCTATATCCATTTAAAATCAGATAATTAAAAGCACTAAAGATCCCCACAGCACAACACCAGCATTACACACACAGAATCACACATAATCACTAAGGTTGGAAAGGACCTTCAAGAGAATCAAGTCCAACCATTAACCCAACACCACCATGCCCACTAAATCATGTCCTGAAGCGCCACATCCACACATTTTTTGAACACTTCCAGAGATGGCGACTCCACCACCTCCCTGGCCAGCCTGTTCCAATGCCTGACCACCCTCTCGGTGAAGAAATTTTTCCTAATATCCAATCTAAAGCTCCCCTGGCGCAACTTGAGGCCATTTCCTCTCGTCCTATCGCTAGTTACTTGGGAGAAGAGACCAACACCCTTGTCGCCACAACCCCCTTTCAGGTAGTTGTAAAGACTGAAGAGGTCTCCCCTCAGCCTTCTCGTCTCCAGACTGAACAAGTCCAGTTCCCTCAGCCGCTCCTCATAAGACGTGTGCTCCAGACCCCTCACCAGCTTTGTTGCCCTTCTTTGGACACACAAAATGTAGATTAATCTACATGCACCAAACAGTTGCTTTATAATGAACTATCTGATTGCGTTCTTCATGCTGAGCCATGCAAAATCTTTTCTAAGATACACAGTATGTTCAAGTTTGTCACAGGTAGACTTTCTTACCAATACTTTTCTGCCAGACTTTGTGAAAAAAGCAAATATAGTGTGGAAAATATTTTCATTCTCTTGAGGAACAATGCAGGGGCTGGGGTTTCTGTGAAAAGAACAGCTTCCTTTGTCTTGACCAACCTGAAAGCACAATTATAATCACAATTATTATTCTGAATTAAAATAAATGACACAAGAAGGTGGGATTAGCCTGTCTGAAAAAACACACCTACATCTGAGCTGGATGTCTGGACTCCCACTGATAAGAGAGAAATAAACATTTCAGGAGTCAAATAATCCTAAAGAAAATATCTAAAGTAAGCCAGATGAACCACGCTCTGGAAATGCTTCTATCTTTTGACTGGATAGGATACAAAGGTATCTAACTTATCTCACATGTAGGTGTCTGTGTTCTACTTGTCTGGAGACAGAGGAGAAAATTCTCAGCAAAAGATATAAACCACCACATAGCATTTTAAGTCAATTGTGTTACCTTGTGTATTACCTTTTACCTAGCTGTATTATTTGGTGCTTTGGACAACTTGGCTGTTTCACAGTTTATATCAGAACTAATGAGATAAATTAAATCTTTGTGCAAATGCACAATCCCAGACACTAAATCTGTTCTTTTACCTTCAGCATAAAAAGCACAAAAGTAAACTTTTTGTATCATTAGCTTATTCACTTGTCCAGAAGAGAGATGCTTGAAGCAAGTGAATTGTACCAAACTTTGATAAAATGATCTTCAGTCAAGATAACCTTGCACTAGAAAACCCTTCTCAATTTTTGCAGCTTATGGATATTCATTGAAGAAAATATATTGGAACTTAATACAAACTATGACAACAAAGTATCAGCAAATCCCTCCTGCCGCCATCCTTAAAACCTGTAAAAGTGAGAGAGAGGGAGATTTTCCCATTAAACCAGCAAGGAAAATTCATACGCATACCGCTGTTGACCTCCCCATATCCTCTACTCTGAGAGGATGAAAACTTGCACCTTATTCAAATCGCAAATCCTTGAAAGAGAGAGAAAAATTGTTGTTATACATATGAAATTACTGCATGCTCCAACTCTGATTCTGCATTAAACAGTTTATAGCTGAGTTAGCCAAAGCACTGCCAAAAAGAAACAAAAACAAAGGTCTATCTAAATATTAAATGCTATTTTCCAGACAAGTGATGTCTATGTCTCTTGGTAAGATACACCTTTTCTGCTTCACTGGCCCACAAGCTCTTCATAATCTGTTCTTTGAAGTATGTATTTATAACCTGTCTGTACGTAATCTGTTCTTACATTCCCAACAGATACAGACACAGGTAGCTACCCACAGTTCACAGTCTCCTTGGGATCAACTGAAAATTAGGCTATGATGTTCTCCATTTGTCCAGATCACCTGGAATGAGTTTTCATTATTTATTGTAGGTAAAAGATTCACAAAGCACACTGACATTTATTTTCTTTGAACTTTCATATGGGAATTAGATCCAGACCAACCAGAAGGTTTATATTAAATCAAGAACAGCCAAGAGTCGAGATCTATTCAGTACTTGCTTTTTCTTCCTGAAAGTTTGAACTACCAGACACTTGGACAGATGTCATCAGATTCATGCAAGTGATACAGAAAGGACAATATGAGCTTCTGCACTATCCCAGCTTTTGGCATACTCTCCAAATAGTCCTGCTTCACATCCTGTGCAAATACTGTGTAAGAACAAACCAAAGCAGGAATATCTGATAAGACTAAAAGGAATTATCCCACATGAAGCAACATAAATCTGGTCCCTTCTTCTCTAAATGATTATCTTTTTCTTAAACTGAAGCTTGGCTACATCTCATCCTTTACCTGAGACAGAGGAAGGCAACTCCAGAGGACTAAGTCTGAATTTGGAAATACCCTTTCCTCTTTGCCAACTATGCAGCAATCCTACGCAAGGCAGCTATTAAATTCAGGGCCTCTGCCCATGTTAGGAGGGACATGTGCAAGGACCAAGCACTGCTGTCACCTGTGCTGCTCTGCAACAGACCAGAGGGTCACCTACAGCCTGTTTTAGTAGCCAAAGGCAGATGCCACTTCCTAGAAGGAGTAGGCAGACGGTACTACTTGGCCTGCAGTATTTGGAGGAATTCAACCAGGCAGAAATTAGGTCACATTCATCTGTGTATCTGTGATCAATCAGCATATGCTGACAGCCAGTAGGCAGGAAAGGATGCAAGGCAGCTGAGCAGCACTCAGTTTCTTTTAGCATTCTTAGAGACAGCAGAGCCACAGAACTAGGGAAAAAGTAACCAAAAGCTTTGAAATGGGTGCATCATGCTGAGGTAGAAGGAAATCCAGCCTTTCCAAAGGACTGGTCACAGTTGGGTTTGGGTTTTTTGTTTGTTTGTTTTATTAGGGTGACCGTCAGACTATTATATTTCACACCATCTCTTATTTTCCTCAATTTTCACATGCATAAAGAGAAGGTTCATTCAACCAGTCAGACAAAACTATGGTAACTTTTCATTAAACTTTGTTTTCAATGAAAAGTCTGGTTCTAGGAAATTGACCTGCTAAATAAAATCTTAGCACAAAGCTCTTGCCTGCATTATGCTGAAATTAAACTGCATCTCTGAATATAAATCAGGATTTGGCCTCATGCATGAGCCTCCTCCTTGTACAAACATGGTGCTACCCCAGTCCCCTGTTTTTATCCTTGTGACCAACCTCCTAATCTGGTAGACAGAGAAGAAAATTTCTGGCAAAGTTTAAGGGCTTTGCATGAGCAAATGCTTACAATTTATAGATGCAAGAACTGTGCAAGTCTTTGAAATGGAGTAGGTAGGCAGGCTCTTTGATAAACTCTTGGAGTTTCAGGGTACATGACATACTAGAGCTTTCTGGAAATTTCCATGTGGTCTCAGCAGCCTATAAACAGAAAAGGACTACCCCCAAAGTGATCTTCCCAGGACCTGGGATTTAGCATCCTACAGAAATAGCAGAAGGCAGTTTTCTTCAGAAGCAGTGCAGAGGATATGGAAAGAGATGTGCGCTGGCTTTGTGCTTAGTATAAGGACTATACAGAAGCCACAGAGAAAAATCAACCTCCAACTCCTAAAACAAACAAACAACAACAAAACTGGGGCAGGGGGAACAGGGACAGAAGGAAGGCTCTCTTAAATCCTACGTTAAAAACTGCAACTAGGGAAATAAAAACCCTGCGGTACCAAGCAGGAGCAGTCCTGCAGCCTCCCAGGGAGGGACTTCCAAGGAGTTGTGTCAGAGCTGTCTCTGCTGAAGCTTGTTTCATTTTGTTTTCCAGAAGGTACTTACCTGTTTTAAGTCCTTCATAAAATAATTTGCGGTCTGGTGCACTGGCAGTACAGTTAAATCTCCTGTACTAGAATTGTACCTAAAATCAGTACCCAGACAGAAGTAGACAAAGTCTACATTAGCTTATAATGTGGGCCAAAGAAAAAGGTGAACCAGGCTAACTACATGGCATCCTCAGCACCTCATGTCCATACTACATACTTTCCTAGTTTGCTCTGGGTCTGGTCCTGTGGCCTTAATGTGCTACAGCTAAAAATGAGCGTTAAGTGCACTCTTCGAGTGCTCCTTTGTGTTTCTTTTGCCCCAAAAGGAATCCAGTTTGTGCACTCTGCACAGCTCCCTGCATGGGGAAGACTGGGGATTTTGCTTTAAAAGCTTATTTCTGGACTGAACTAAGATGCTAGTAAAGAAGCACTCTAAGGCACACTTTGGTCTTCCACCCAACAAAACTTCTGTAAAAGGTGATGACCCCAAAGGTGTGCAAAATACACATTATGCATGCTTGCTAAGAACAAGTTTTCAATTTTTTCACCCATGAATGTGGATATTACATTAAATATAAGCAGGACTCCTGGAATTTAGATTTGTTATGTACTAGAATCATTACATTTCTACGATAAGCAAACCTTTCTGGAACAAAAAAGCTATAATCAGTCTAGACCATACAAAATTCCTCCAAAACTAGAAGTGGCATATATATATATATATTATTTTTTATTTTTTTAAATCTGATCTAGCAGGTTTCATTGAACAGCTTTACATTGCAAGAGAAATTGGCATAAAAATAATTCCAAAGGTCTTAAATTATTTTCTACTTTTTCTTCTTCGCTAGGCACAATAGTCTATGCTCTCACATAAATTGGTTTTAAACCAAAAGAGGGCAGATCTAGACAAGATAGAAGGAAGACATTTTTCACCATGAGGATGGTGAAACACTGGCACAGGTTGCCCAGAGAGGTGGTAGATGCCCCATCCCTGGCAACATTCCAGGTGAGGTTGGATGTGGCTCTGAGCAACCTGATCTAGTTGAAGATGTCCCTGCTCACTGCAGGGCGGGTAGACTAGATGACTTTTAAAGGTCCCTTTCAACCCAAACTATTCTATGATTCTGTAATTCTATATAGTCTAGACTCCCACAATATAATGAGTTGTTTCAGGGTAACAGCATAAAATTTTTGTAACATAGAACTAAATATTACTAACTACTGATTCTAGCCTTCAACTCCTGGAAAACCTTTCAAATTAAGAAAAAAATAATCTTATTTTTACAAAGAAAAAAAACTACCCATAAATGGCCACGTGTTCAGAGACGAGTTAGTCTCTAGCTTTGTTAATTTACTGGAAGTTGCTGTCCCCTTAAAGAGCCCATAAACATGCTTGAGAGATGACGTTTAAATAGGACATCCTATACAATGGGTTATTCTGTCATTTTTTTGTTGTCAGCACAAATCACTGAGCTTCTCAGAGACAAGACGTAACCACTGGAGAAAGCATGTGCATTACTTCATGCTTTAAAAATGCTGTATCTGCAACAAGGAAGAAATTCCCACAGGATGACTTTAGTGGACGCAATATTTGAAGCATCTTACAGAGCAGGGGCAAAGCCATGAAGTAGCAATGATTTTTAACCACATCAGATTACACCACCCTTAAGAAAAAGTGGCAGGAGGCCATTTCAGAATGAAACAGTTGCACGTAAAACATATCACGTACACTCCACACACATTATACCCTAAAAAACTGCTGGATATTTAATAGGGCTGTATGGGAATAGCATGTTGGATTTATTATGTATACAGGGACCATTGCCTCTGACTTTCCCTGCACT